CATACTTAGATAAATCTAAGCGCAGAGAATATCATCTTTTACCATTAAGATGCTGTTGGGATCTCTTGGTATATTTCAAAAGGAAAAATCTATTAACGGTTGTGCATTTTCTCCACTTCTTCCCACATCCTTAATTACGCAGGATGTTGGCTGGGTGGGTGCAGAGGGAGGGGAGAGGGCCACTGGGGCCGCCTACTCTCCCACCTGAAGACAGTGTCCTTCTGTGTCACAGTTGCCATTGTCACCATCGCTTCCGTGGACAGTGCTGGTGGCAGACTGGGAATAATGTCTACAGGACCTAATGGCCTCGAACCTCAGGGAAATTGGTTTTACATGCCAATGCCCTTAATTATCACAGGAGAAAAAAAAATGGAAAAAGTCATAAAGCCTATAACATGCAGACAGATTTGTAGCAATTCTTTTGACATTACCCAGGTTCGGTCTGAGAGTGTTTTAGGAAGCGCCTTTGCTAGAACCATTCTCAATTCTGTTTTCTTCTCAAGATCATGTATGGACATGGCAGTCCTCTTCATATGTTCCTTGTCTTCACACCAGCGTTCACATACTGGTGGTCTCCATGGGCAGTCATACTTTGATTGAACCCACGTACTGTTTAAAAATTATTTTCTGCATCGCCAACATCGATATACATGTATTGAGATTTTACATAACAATCGGCATTTCTTGCTTCTCTTGGAAAATTCAAAAGCTCTGGTGATACCCGCCCAGCAGCAGCCTTTCCTTTATTCAGGGCATGTGTTCTTCAGGCTGCCATAGCCCTGCCCTCCCCATCCTTCCAGATTGCATCCCCTTGCTGGCTTATGCTTCCGGCCTACCCTGGAGGCAAAAACTATTGTGATTTTTAGGGTACGTTATTTTTTTCAAATCTTCTCCCTCCCCATCTCTTATGTTTCAGTAAAATTTTATTAGGAGTTAGAAGGGAGCACCTGACAGAGGCCTTTTGCATTTCCTCTCTTCTTTCCTCTTCCTGCCTGGAACTTGACCATGATGGCTGGATTCCGAGCAGCCATCTTGTGACTGTAAGGCAACCCTGAAGCTTGAAAAGCACATGCTTAGGATGGATGAACAGGAGACAGAAAGGAAGTGTGGGGTGTGATCACATTGTGGAGTCATTAACCAGTCCTAGAATCCTCATTGCCAAACTTCCTATTATATGAGAGAAAATTAATCTCACTATTTTTTTTTTGAGAAGAAAGTGCAAGAGCTTTATTACAATCATTATTATCCTTGAGGTTAACAACTGATGAACTCATTCAACAAAATATTTTGCATGTGATGATTTAGGGCCCAGGGATACATGCCAGAAGTAGCTAGAAGGGTGTGAAAAACGTACCTTGGGGACCAGCACGGTGCTCCACGCTGCAAAACTAAAAAGTATCAAGGATGCGTCTGAACTTCTGTAGTGGAGGGTACGGTGGTGGCACAGGCCTGACCTAGCTCAGGAGGTAGCAGGGCGGCTGCTGGCTCACTGTGCTCCAGGGCATGCTACCCCCCCCCCCCACCCAGGTCTGCCTCTCTGCAAGCCAGTTACACCAACATTTCAGCATCTACCAGGTGTGATGACAGGGTGCCTTGAGGGTTAGACCCTGCCTCCCAGCAAATCAGTGAGAAGGGAAACTCAGCACTGCCTCTGGAATGTGCAGCAGCGCTGCTCTCCCTCGGGGAAAGGCAAGAGGTGGGTCTCAATAGGTCTGCGTCACTTTTGCGGGTTGGCCTGATAAGGACGTCAGCAAAGCTGGCGGTGTGCACAGCGGCGCTCAAAGCACCACTGCCCACCTGCCGCGAGTATGACCACGAGTGTGTGGCGTGTCAGGGCCCTACCTGCTCCAGAAGCATCTGGAGCTCTGGAGGACTGCAGCCTCTGAGCACACCAGCCCTTTGGCTTTTCAGAAAAATAAAACACTCTATAGCCGTGAGCCAGGGAGCAGTCTAGGCAGCTCCGCACAGGAACGAGGTGCTGAGGGACAATCTGACGCGCCCAGGTGAACGCAGGCCCAGGCAAACCTGCGCTTGGGCAGAAGGAATTCAGTTGGACTGACAGGTGTTTTCTAGCTCAAATGGAATGTGGTGTTTCTACCTTTCTCTGGGGAGACAACGGGGCAGGTTTTCATCCGTCTTTGCATGCATGCAGTGGGCTTGCTATAGTGTCCCAGAACCAGTAAAGCTGGTTCCTCCACTAGTTGCTGGTCACTTCTAGAACTCAAAAGCAGCTCTAGAGAGGATTACAAGAAATGCAGGTGTGCCCGGTCTCCCTGGTGGAGGTTCTCTCTCGTTCAGGAGGCAGATGTCCTTCTGGAGGAGCTCCCTGCAGGCAGACTGCCTAGATTTCTAATTTTCCAGGATATGGCTCCTGCGATTAAAAAGCCAACTTAAAGATGGGAGCTTCTCTTTGGCTTTTCCCAGGAGCACCTGGGCCCCCCCTAGGCAGTGACCTCCCCCCACACAAGGGGAGGGGAATTCAGGAATGCTGGTGCCACTTGCACCAAAACCCTTCCCTACCCTGCCTTCCTGAAACCCGCTCTGTAACCAATGCCCTTCTTGCCCTCCTGCTGTTAAGACACGTTGTCCTGTTACTAAAAAGCAGGAAATGGGCGACTTTCCCACCAGCCTTAATCCCTTCCTCCCAAATGTGTGCCCTCTTGTTTTTAAGACCACAGGAGGACCTTTGATGACTGCTGACACAGAAGTAAAGCTGAACTCTGGAAACTTCACTTGACTCATCAGGCCTTGGTGAGTTCTGCTTAGAGCACTTGTAGGGATACAATGATCCTCAAATGCCACCAACCAGGACTCCCAGGACACAAGGTGGGGGGCCAGATCCTTCTTAGTTTCAGATATGGAAATTTAAGGCAAAGGAAGGGGCACTTGACTTTGTCTTAGATTTCCCAGCGGAGCAGTATCTTGAAGAAAATCTTTGCCGGGGAAATAGAAAAGTTGGGGAAACTGAGGCACTGGTGATGGAGGTGCCGGTCCTCCTTGTTCACTTGCAAGGCTGCTGGATGTGCTGGGTTCTCGGGGAAGGATGCTTGTCAGTGGAGGCCTGGGGCTTCTGGTGAGCCACCTGGGCGGCCGCCGGGGGCAAGTCCTTGTCCACGCGGGCGATCACTCCGGAGATGAACACGGTCGGCTTGGGGGCGCTGGGGCTTTCCCATTCCCGGTCGTCCGACCGAATGTGGGTGTTTCTGCACGATGCGCATCCCGCCGGCTTTCACGGCAGGCAGGTGTCCGGCTTTCGTCCCTACCTTCCCCTCGGGAGGCGAAGACATGAGGACACCGCCCAGGCCGGGAGGGCGACTGGCCGCGCGGCAAATCTCACCACTCAAACCACTTGCAGATGAGTATCTATTACTACGAATCAAATGCAATTCCTTAATGGGTCAGAAGGTATCAGGTAGTATCCTCGGGGAAATAACAACATGTGTCTGTTGACTTTCTTGAGAATTCCCACTGCTTGATAGAAATAATGGTCACGAGACCCCTCCCCTAAGCTTTGTGCCAGGTGCTTTAGGATGTATTACATTCCAACCTCATAACAACCCTGATAGGCAGGAGAGATTATTCTCATGTTATAGATGAAAAAACCAAGATTTGGAGAAGGTGAGGGGTTTGCCCAAAGCCACACACCTATTAAGTGAGGTGCCTGGCTCTGAAGCTAGACCCAAAGCCTGTGCTCTTTCCACTGGGCTTTCCCTTCTCCCTCCCAAAGTGAACATAAAGCCCTTCTCAAAATCACTGTGCAAGGAAACTCAGGTTTCCTGAAATGGCAAGGATTCCTGCTGCTTCTTCTGTTTACCATCCCATCAGGAACATCAAAGAATCAGAGTTAGAATTCATAAAATTCATTTGGAGAAAAGCGTATGACAAAATGTTTCCAATTCAAGGCTTCTAATTATTTGCTTTAGTGAATAAAACTGAGAGGAATGTGACTTTGAGGGGAAAGGTAGAAATATTAAAACCAGTGATGAGCAAAACAACAGCCGCATCGAATACTTGCCTTGAGGTGTGTGACACACAATCCTGCCGCATACGTGGCTTGCTCCCCATTTTATAGGATCACTGAGACTCAGAGATGGTCACTAACTTGCCCAAGGGTTACACAGCTAGTAAGTCTTGCCTCAGATACATACTCCTGTGTCACCTCAAAGTGCCCCAGAGAATAGAGGCAAGTGAATGAATGATCAAGTGGCATGGCTTATTTTGTAGGCTGCAGCAAAAACACAATTGCTGTATCTCATGTTTTATGATTTTTTTTATTTGTTTGTTTTAAAGATTTTATTTATTTGAGAGAGAGAACGACAGGAGTAGCAGGCAGAGGGAGATGCAGGTTCCCCACTCAGCAGGGACTCTGATGTGGGACTCGAACCCAGGACCCTGGGATCATGAACTGAGCCAAAGGCAGATGCTCAACTGACTGAGCCATCCAGGTATCCTCATGTTTTATGTTTAAAATTCATGCAAATTTTGTTTTATACTCAATGATTTAACTGTGCTATTTTTATATTAGTATAAATACATTAAATTATTTATCAGCTGAATTATTTAACTTTTATCTCCTGAAATGGACACTTGGGAAAGATGCACCTTGTTTCTTTGCTGTGGCTCTGCAAACATTCAGCATGCAGCGACATACCAATGGAAGAACATCACCCCAGCATAAGAGATACAAGGTCTTTCTGAATCCAGGGCAAGTCTTTATACCCGGTTTAAGGCCCTACTTCAAGGTAGCACAGCATTGCCGTTTAATCACAAGTGGAAGGTTGCGAGTGAATGCTGTCCTATTTGTAACATCCATGAAGTCACTCAACAAGAGCGTACCACGCAGGCCTCGTGCCAGCCACCAGGGCAATCCAACCCCAATCGGGGCACTTACCTAGGGCCACAGGCTCTCCTGGGAGCGGTCAGGGAGGTGGGACCAGCCAGATGTAGGGCTGCACTGCACCCTGCCCGAATCCCACGCCCGAGGGGCAGGTCTCACTGACCTTATAAAAGTCCGAAAGCCTGTTGGTCCCAACTTCATCGACCCCTTGATCCCCAGGAACCGGATGAACAAATTTGCCATCCTGTCCACCAGGCGCAGGTAGTTGAATTGCTTGGCATACTTGGGGAACACCTGCTTGAGGCAGATGGAGGGCAGGTGGGCTTCAGGATTGGGGTTGGTGTCGGAGGTGCCGGCTGGCTCACAGTCAGAAGGACCTTCCTTCCCGGCTAATGGCTTCTTGTGCGGCTGGGACCTGAAGAACACGGGCAGTTAAGGGCACATCCAGCATCTGGAGTGGGCTTTATAGTAGGCAAAGCACCTTCCCTCACATACTCACCTTTCTCTAGAGTCCAAGCAATCTCAGGAGGTGTGAGCACTGTCACTGTTTGTATTGTATAGACCGGAAAGCTGACCCCAGAGAAGCGACCTCCCCGAGCTCACACAGCTAGTGTGTGGCATGGCCGGGACTTGAACCCGGGACAGAGCCAGGACCGGAAGCTTATGCTTCCTCTGGTTTCCCAATATGGACATCTTCCTTTACCGCACTCATGATTCAAGAGAATACTCTCTTATGGAGCAGCTTAGTTTTGATTTCAAAATCCACTACTGGTGGGTAGTAATTGAATAATTAAGAAATATAAAAATCTCATTGAGGGCTGGCAAGAATCCAGAAGCACAGTTCAATGAACAATTTGCAAAGATACATCAGTTATCCAATTCTAGGAATAGGCACAGTTATGTTTTCTGGCTTAACTATTTTCTTATTTGGAACTCATACAAAAAATATGATTATAGTGTTGTGATTCCTGAGTCTGGCTATCCTATTCTGATATCCAAGAAAATTCCACAGCTAATAACTCTCACATATCCACCTCTGGCCTGGAATATTCTCACTTCCAGACCCGCATATGGGGAAGGTACCACCAGTGGCACCTTCAGGATGACCCCCAGCTACCCCAGACGAAAATTCCCATTTCCCTCACCCCAACTGTACATTCCCCATCTCCGTGAATGTCACCTCCATCTGCCAGCTACCCAAGCAGGAAATGTCAGGATAAATGCCAGTCCTCCTCTCTGCCTCTGTCACCAGTTCTAAGTCCTCAGTATTTCTTGAAACCAGCTCTGCTCTCCCCCATTGGGACTTGTTGACTCTCTCCAGAACTAGATCGATGGCCTCCAGTCTTTCCCATCCATAGACCCATAGACACTGGCACCAAGGAAGGTCTTCCTTATTTTTTTCTAACTTTTTAAAAATATTATTATTATTATTATTATTATTGTTATTATTATTGCAAGAGAGGTGGCAGGTGGGAGGGTAGGGGCAGAGGGAGAGAGAGGGAGAGAAAGAATCCCAAGCAGGTTCCACACTCTGTGCTCAGGGCGCAGCCAGGCTCAGGGCCCAATCCCATGACCCTGAGAGCATGACCTGAGCTGAAATCAAGAGTTGGATGCCCAATCAGCTGAGCCATCAGGCATCCCACAAGGCACTTCTTCTTCTTTTTTTTTAAAATTTATTCACAAGACACACACACACACACACACACACACACAGAGGCAGAGACATAGGCAGAGGGAGGAGAAGTAGGCTCCATGCAGAGAGCCAGACGTGGGACTCGATTCTGGGACTCCAGAATCACCCTGAGGCAAAGGCAGATGCTCTTGAGCCATCCAGGAGCCCCATGGGGCATTTCTTCTGAAGCAAACCTAGCTGGGTTGCTCCTTACTATGACTCTTCACTGATTCCCAAGTGCCTACAAGGAAGTTAATATTCTTCACTCTGGCACCAAGGCCCCCTCTGGATTTCTTCTCCATCTTCTTTTCCAATCACTTCCCTAGACACACTATACCCTCAAAGGCCTTGGGCACTCCCTGCCACCCCCTCACTCCGCTGCTCAGTGGCCAGTTCTGGACCAGAGATTCAGTGCCCACTGGACACCCAGCTCCCTTCCACAGCTGGAGCCTCTCTGCCATGGCAGCTCATCTCACTTTCATGTCTGCTGTGCTGCCTGCAGCTGGTCTGGGAACTGGTGTAACCTTCTCCCACCCATGCATCCACTCCTGAGACAGAACCCTGAGCACATTGTACTTCATCAATAATACTGCCTGGGATCCCTGGGTGGCGCAGCGGTTTGGCGCCTGCCTTTGGCCCAGGGCGCGATCCTGGGGGCCCGGGATCGAATCCCACATCGGGCTCCCGGTGCATGGAGCCTGCTTCTCCCTCTGCCTGTGTCTCTGCCTCTCTCTCTCTCTATCATAAATAAATAAAAATTAAAAAAAATAGCACTGCCTAACTCCAGGAAAATCAGAACCATGTCACATGGTATTGAGCTCAACATCAGGGCCATTTTCTACTCTTTTCTTGATTAAATGGCCTCATCCCCTGTCCTCCCACTTCCAAGCACATCATTAGTCACCAAGTCAGGCCATCTTGGTATCTTCGTACCTGCTTTCCTTGGCCTTCCCCTGGCCCTGGCTGCCTGGCACATTTCTGCTCCACTTCCAGAACAAGTCCAGCAGTCTCCTCAATCGTGTTAGTGATTCTCTTTCATGCCCCACTCCTGTTTCTCAGACTTGCTTCTTTGTTCCTCTGGTCAAGCGGCACTGTATTTGTCTATATGCCAATTCCTCCCTCGCATCTCATCCAACTCTATCTCTATAGGATCACTTTTGGCGCTTGGGAAATGTTTCATTGAATCTGAATTTGTTGAATTGGGAAAGTTTGCTTTTAGTGGCAAGACATGTCTCAAATAAAATACCAAGGTTATGATGTTTTGTAAGCTCTTTAAAATGGGGGAACAGGTTTGATAGAGAAACAGCAAGCCTTGACAGCCCTGCTGTAATAGTCTTCCCTTCGTTCTGGGCTAAGGAGTTAGCCTCTAAGAAAGAGAACCCCCTTGTTTGAGTCAAGTTCTGTAAATTCTGTTCACAGTTCCTTTTAGGTGGGTCTTGGCACGGGTCTCAAAGCAAGGGCAGAACCAGAACAGCCAGAAGGAAATTCCCCTGCTTTTTTTTTTTTTTTTTTTAAGATTTATTTACTTATTTTGGAAGGAGAGAGAGAGAGTGAGCATGCATACTAGTCAGGGAAGGGGCAGAGGGAGAATCCCAAGCAGATTCCCTCCTGAGCATGGAGCCCAACTACAACCGGGCTCGATCTCACAACTCTGAGATCATGACCTGAGCTGAAATCAGGAGTTGGACCCTCAACCGGCTGAGCCACCCAGGCTCCCAGGAAAACTTCTCGAGTTCAGCCACATGGATGGTTCTGGGGAAACAAAGCCTCCCTCCCACCAAAGAGAGACTGGAGTCCTCAGGAGAAACACTGTTGCTGGAAAAGGTGGGGTGGTGCAATCTCCCTCCAGCTGAGCTGGTTTTATTATCATCTCCTTGAATTCAAGACAGTAAATAAAAGTCAGGTGGTTACTTTTCAGATGAAATGTTTCCACATGAAAGTTATAGAAAGACAGTTAAGGAAAGAGTAGCAGTGTTACTGGAAATTAGCTCTTAAATTACTGGATAAGTGGCAATCACTGACTTTATGAGCACTCATTAAGTTTTTGTTAGAGGGAAGATTTGGAAATGTACGGTTTGAATGTGCTCAGTGCCAATAGAGCGAGCTCTGAAATCTTCCCAGTCAGCTGTCCCACCTTCACTGTCTCATCCGCATTTCGCACAGCCCTGTGAAGTGGCTGTTATTTTTATGCCCCTTTTCCAGGTGAAGAAACTGAGATGCAGCAAGGTTTGCCATGGCTGAGCCAGAATTATAACTCTGTCCTTCCAACCTGTGTTCATCCGTTGCCACTCAAACCCTCGTAAGTGCAGCATGATTCACACAGGTGAGGGTCACTGAATCCAAAGTATTGTTATTTACGTTGTGTTTTAAATAGTGTTTTTAGGTTGTAATAGTCATCCATGCTCTTTGTAGACATTTTGAAGAATTTACAGAAGAATCTAAATCATTTGTAGTCCACAGCTCAGGGATAAACTGTGTTTTTTATCTATATATATATTTTTTTAATTTTTATTTATTTATGATAGTCACACAGAGAGAGAGAGAGAGAGGCAGAGACATAGGGAGAGGGAGAAGCAGGCTCCATGCACCGGGAGCCCGACGTGGGATTCGATCCCGGGTCTCCAGGATCACGCCCTGGGCCAAAGGCAGGCGCCAAACCGCTGTGCCACTCAGGGATCCCTTTATCTATATTTTGTAAAGTTAGCATCATATTACATATAGTGTAAATCCTTCTTTTTACACTTTACATGACATTACAAGTGTCTTCCCATGGCATTAAATGTTTTCATGAGCATAATTTCTCATTGATGTGTGATATTTGGTATTAAGCCCGAACCATAATTTAATTAGCCACCCCCTCAGTTGAGTGTCTACATGGCCTTTCTTTGACTAAACGGAATGTGATAATGGGTCCCTAGGCGATGTGCTCCCACTCAGAAACATATCACAGCTAGCGGCTGCCTTGGAGGTCATTCTGTCCATTGATGCCATCTAGTTTTTGGTGTGTGGTTTAATGTATGCACCCTACAATTCACCATTTTAATCACTTTAAAGTGTACAATTCAGTGGCATGTAGTATGTTCACAGTGTTGTGTACCCATCCTTGCTATCTAGTTCCAGAACATTTCCATGACAATGCCATTTCAGAGAAGAAACTTTAATCCCAGGCAGATACGGCCACTAGCACCAGTGGGTCATTTCATTGGCAGAAGGTCCACGGTGGTGGCCTTTGCTTGGGGTACCCTGGTGATGGGGACCCCACCACCTCCAGGGGACCTTTCGAGCTGGGAAGGTTTTCCCAGTAGTGTCAGAGGATGTCTCCTGCCATTGTCCTCAGCCTGCACCCCACCCTATACTCAGAGCCATGCAGAATAGGTGTTTTTTATCTTTTAATGTGAGCCCTTCACATTTCTTTCAAGGCTGTGTTTACTGGCTGACTGCCATTTCCCTTCCTTCCCAAATCCCAATTAATAAGCTCAACATAGAAAGGGCCTTCAAAGCTACAGATACTATTTTCATGGACTCAAAACCACAAATTCACAAGAAAGTGTTTTACTCAATTGGAAGAAGACAGTAAAGATGTAGCTGATCTAGAAGATGAAATAAAACAATGAGAAATGGTATCTTGCTTGAGCTGATTCCAATAATCACATTGAGATCCAAGTTATCACAAATACTGTAAAATCCTGTTTTTATTTAAAAGCATTTTAATGGAAATGTCAGATTTATGAAATAAAAGTGAC